TGAAGAATAAAATTAATCGAAACTTAAAACGTTTCAAGTATTTAGCGTTAATAATAATATAATCCTGTACGGCGGGCGACCATTAAATTCAAAACGAAGCAACGTTTAGCGGAAAGGGGTGTTTTATTAATGGTGTATATTAATACCATATAATATAGGTACCAGCTACATATTATACACTCTTACTCGTGTATATTTATGTACATAGGAAACGGAAGTTTATTGCAAATCGATGAGTAGAGGCAATTATTTAGTGTACGGCAATTATAATATCGCGGTTAAACAATGCGCGTGTTTAATACATTTAATTACACTATACAGTCACAGTGTGGTCACACGATCATTACTAGCTAGCTAGATAATATATGTTATTAGGGTTCACTACGAATTTTCAGGATAAAAGTACGCACTTCGAATCGATGTTACAAAGTCGAGGTGGTTCGCATTTTGATAAAATATATGAAATGTTTTTCCTCGAACCCCTGTCAGCAATTCATATCGCGGAGCAGTATAAAACCGACTTTTCTTCCGTCGGTTATCCCTAGTCCGTTTTATAGTTTGAATAATAATAATAATATGTATCGTATAACTATATAATCATAAATAACCATGTGCAAATGGAGTGGACCTCCGGTATTGTAGACGCGAGGTTTGACGTCCCGCGATGATGGATATCGAACGATAGTACACCGACAAATTTACGAACACTGCCGACATGTTTTCGGTTGCGTTTAGACGATATTAATAGCGGCCGTTCTCGAACACGGGGAGAGGTTTTCATTTTTTGACGGAAAAACGCGAGGGGGGAAAAACATTACCTCAAACGAGGTCGCCTCCGATCCCTTTCAGCTGATAAGGCACGTTTGCGGTGTTGGCATTCGGTCGGTCCATCGTCGGGCCACAAAGTCTTTTGAACGACGAGCGTTTTACATCGCATATATACTATTTTAACCCCGTCAATTGCTACCTACTTATTCCCGGCGCACGTACATACAATTTTTATACGCAGTCTCTCGTGTGCCAATAGCCGTAATTGGATCCGAGACGGTGTACCGACGGGGTGGGCCATCGCGCCGATGCCCCGTTTTCCCACGTCATCACGTGTGTCGGTTAAATGTGAAAACCGCATAACACTCTGTACATACTATATTATACATAATGCATTTTAATAAAATGGGCATATATAGGTACTAACTGGTAGGACATGATGATGTCAAGCGGCAAGGAGTTCACCTTATTACTGCGGCTATAGGTCAATACCAACATAATATAATAACATCACACTACCAGAGATTATGTGCGAGCATCCATTTTTTGAGTACGTAATAATAATAATAATAATAATAATATCACATACCTATATGAGCACGACCGATCGATCCGTGTCGAACTATTGAGGATTTCAGCAGGCAATCTATATAAAAAGTTCACGATATTATATGTAATAAAACAGACGACCTATAATACGCCTTATGTGCGCTATAAAAAATACATCCGAGAATGTACGCCGAAAACCTGCAGATAACCACCAATATATATATATATATATGTAATATATAACACGTCGTTTAGAAATGTGATATTATGATTACCCGTAAAAAAATGCATTCTACTTCAAATTGCTAGAACGAAATACGAATTAGTAGCTTACATCTTCGGTTGTAGCTTTTAATTGCATTTCTGCAACTCTTGTTCTCAGAACACAATTCCTTGTAGTTATAACGCCCTAACAAATCGCAATCCTGTAAATCCTCTCGATCCCGTATAATATATCCTTACAACGTATAGTTAGGTATCTGAATAATACTGCTCTATGGTTCTATTTAATTGCCGATGCGAAAGTGGAAACTACGACTGTAAGTTTGAAGCAGAAGTACCGACTAAAACGTTTTTTTTTTTCGTTTCTAAATTTAAATGCTGATTAAATTATGGATTTTCTAATTAATTTTTGCTTTATTGCGTTTCATGTAGCAACAATTTCATTAAATAATTTAAAACTCGCATAAGTATACGGTATTATAATTGCTTTACGACAATTAGTTTCGAACGAAGTGCACGCGTGTTGTACAAAATACAAATGTGAATATAAACATTGTCTTGAACGCAATTAATAATAATTATCGCATGACGACAGTTTTTGTTTCTAAAGACGATTATATTTTATAAAAAAGAATTAGTAGTAGATTTTTGTATACCTAAGTCCTAAATATACTGCAGCACACTTTTTCACTAACTAGTGACATCTTATACCAAATCATCTACTTACAATTTCATAACTGTTCATCCTTGTCTAAAGTTTCACATATAATCACTACGTCAGTAGTGCGTTAATTTTAAAAATTGCAATATATTGTATTATTATTTTCATTTTAACTTTTACAGTTCAAACATTGTAATATGCTTCATATAATAATAATAATAATAATAATAATAATAATAATAATGATTTTTCGTGTTTTATAATTAATTGATAATCAGTAATCACTAATCAGTTATTATATCAGTACGTGTCATTAGGTATGAACATATAATACAATTCAATTATTTTAGGTGGGTAAACTTAATTTTTAATCATTCATACTGATACGCAAAAACATGCATAACTCCAAGTTTTTCATAACTATATATTAGGTATTCGACAATTGTTTATATGCTCTCACAAAATATAATAGGTGCCTACACAATATTCGCTTGAGTTTTAAGATCAATATTCAAAATGTGGCAATACTATAATACAATAAACTTAGTAGTTAGTACTTAGTACTTACAAGTTACAATGACAATTTCACACAACACCGATGTTGACTCACGACATTAAGTTTATTACGGTAATTTAAAAGCGATTATGCAGTAATTACCAATGTCTCAAAAATGATGATTATCTTCACATCGAAATAGAGTTAATGTACTAATTGACTTGAATGAATTTAAATTTCATTTCAACTGTTTAAAACTATTGAGATTATAACTCAAACATGTAGAAAATTAACACTATTTTTATATAATTGAATGAAATAATATTAATAGTCAAGTTTGTGTTACAACCTACAGTAGTACTTTTTTTATTATGTTTCAGTATTTTAGTTATACTTCATTAAAGTTACCTTCTTTACACTGAGGTTAAAGTGTGTTACCATAAGCCAATAGCATTGGGTTACAACTAAATTCATATTCTCGCATTCTAAGTATAACTCTAATATACATATCAATATATTATATTCTAGCTTTTTTACGGACTTTTATGACAAAACACTTTTTAGGTTAGTAAAAAAAACTTAAAAACGTTAACTCAGCAACTCTATAAATTGTAGGTAGTAAGTTGCACATAAATGGCCCCTACTCAAGTCTCTAAAGGGGTGGTTTTAGATGAAAAAAGAAAACAACGGCTAAAAAAAGTGAGGAATTATAGCGATTTTTAGCGTAATATCAACTAATTTTATGCAAAAACATAGATTTACTCAGAATCTTATTTTAAATGCAATAATTTCTTAATCTTATATTATACCTACCTACAGGTTGTGTATTTTTGTCTATCACGAATTATTCGTTTTTGTAATAATGCACCTAATTAGTATTTATTAATTTGTTAAATTGAAATCATCTATGTTCCGTACTTCAGTACATTTACATTTTTCTGTATTATAATACTTGAACATTATTTATACAATCTGTTATAGACAACAGTCTGTGACATGTATTCTCCACAAAATATGTAATAGTGTTGTTAATTTGTGCATAGTAAATATGATAAAACAACATTGATATTTAAGCATGTTAGACAAATATTTAAAAAACTAGGAATGTAATATGTGTGAATATAATATGGAGACAATATGTACCTTACCTATGTCATAATATATTATTTTTTAGTACAATCTTAAGTCACAAAATATTACAGAAATTAGCTTTTACCTTTTTTTTTTAATTTTCTTTATACAATTATTTTTAAATGTATATTTTTTTAAACATTGTCAAGAGTAAATACCCAATTATTATAGTATTTAATAAATGTTTTTTTTTATTTCTATTATGTTTATTAAAGTTCCAACATACGTCAAAATTAGTTTGTCACTAAAATTAATTAAACCGATTTAACACTATATAGGGGTACCTATATTAATCCATGCTGATGGGTAGTATTATAATAATTTTATATTTTAAGCTGTATAACTGTTAAGTTTGTTTTAGAAGATAATAGATATACCTATAGTACGATGTTGTGTTAAATGCTAAGTTATCGTCAAAAGCCCTCTTAGTATAAGATCAATGTTTGACAATGCTAATATTTTGTTATGATAGGTTGTAACTTGAAGTATTAGCTACTAGACTATATAGGTACCCTCTGAACTTTGTAGGTTTTCAGAGTTAAATTTGTAATACAAAATAAACATATTCACTCAAAAATAATATTGATACTTTTTACTTTTAGTATACAATGTATTGGTATTACGTTTCAATTTGATTAGGTATTCAAATATTATTAGAAAAAAACGGATAAACTTTGCTCAATGTTATAAATTATATAAGATAAATATATCGAAAGTCCCCTATTTTGTGTCGACTACTTGAAATGGTATATTGTCATTTTACATTTATAAGCTATTGTCATCTAATTTTAGAACGATTCTGAGTGAAAATGTTTTTGCACTATGTGTCGTATGTATTTGGTAAAATAATTGATATTTTGCATTGTTATATTATGTACTTACAGTATAATCTACATTCATTTTCCAGTTAACTGCATTTATGCGCCGTGGAAAATGTTTGGTGTTTTGTTAACATTTGAATATCCTACAAATGTTTAAAAATCATTCATTGTTAGGCCAAAAGCTTTTTCACACTATACCCTTTGCAAAATGTAAAATCAAATAACGATTTTCATGTTGTACGATTACAGTACATAATAATATATTGTATAATAGCTATAATATAGTAATCGAATTTTACTTTTTGTCATTGTTATAATATTATCAATATTATCATAATTTAATTTCTTTTAGGTGTATAGAGTGTACGACTATTACTACATGGTGGAATCGAGGACGGTCTACCCAAACTTTTGGAGAGTGATCAACCTGATTCACATTTTATTGATACTGGCTCATTGGTTTGGGTGTTTCTATTATCTGTTATCCGAAGCGGAAGGATTCAAAGGCGATTGGGTGTACCCGTACAAGCCGGGTGACTATGCGACGTTGACTAGAAAATATTTGGGATCGTTGTACTGGTCAACTCTGACGCTGACCACCATCGGCGATCTACCCACACCAGAAACTAATGCTGAGTGAGTTCCTGTATATTGGCCATTNTTTTTTCATTATTATTTTTACGTTTAGGTACGTTTTCACCATCGTCAGCTACTTGATCGGAGTCTTCATATTCGCCACCATCGTTGGTATGTTGTGCGCACACGCTAAGGCGGTGTAATATATAGATAACGCTGCACAGTCGACCCAAAGGTGTTAAAATTGATATACTTACATTTTCCAGGGCAGGTGGGCAACGTGATAACGAACAGAAACGCAAACCGATTGGAGTTTGAACGGCTGTTGGACGGCGCCAAGTTGTATATGCGACATCACAAGGTGCCAAGCGGCATGAAAAAAAGAGTGCTGAGATGGTATGACTACTCGTGGTCCAGGTGAATATTATTTGTTGTTTACCCAACTAATTGAATTAGAAGGGCGGTTTCGAAATTCTATACACTCATCATATATATATATTGTGTATATAATATATAATATATAACTCTCGTCGGCTTGGAGCGCTGTCATGTGTAACTCAATACATTCATTCGGCCGAGCCATATAACGCCTTTAGAACGTTTTATTCGAAATCCAGTGCCACATATACATTGGCACGCGTGCGAATACGTCAAAATCGAATGATTGATTAATTCCTATTTCTCGTTTCACACACGCACGATAAGACTAAAAACATGTTTTTTTTGTGCATGTTGCCGGTTTGTTGAAGGGGACGTATTCAAGGAGGTGGAGATATAAACACGGCGCTGGGTCTTCTTCCGGACAAATTGAAAACCGAACTGGCGTTGCACGTCAATCTGGCGGTTTTGAAAAAAGTAATTTCCAGCTAAATCATAAAAATATAATATGTATGCTGAAAAATACATTATATTTACGTTATTATTGGTAATCTAATGTAGGTTACAATATTTCAAGAATGCCAACCGGAATTCCTACACGATTTAGTTCTCAAAATGAAAGCTTACATATTTACACCTGGGGATTTAATATGTCGGAAAGGAGAAGTGGCCAGAGAGATGTTCATCATAGCAGACGGAATCTTAGAAGTTATTAGGTTAGCATATTTACAATAAATGCGTACTTATATATATATATATATGTATCCATATACACACATAAAAAATGACTTAAAAATCCAATACATTTTAAATGAAATTTGTTTTGCTATATTTTATACAGTAGTGAAACTGGACATGTTCTGACAATAATGAAAGCTGGCGATTTCTTTGGAGAAATTGGAATTCTCAACTTGGATGGATTTAATAAGTATGTGTTATTACAAATTAACTGACAATGTTACACCACACTCAAAATGTACCTACACATATTAACAAAATATTTATTTGTGGTTTATTTACTCTTGACATAGATTAAGGTGTTAAATCAACATTATATATACAATTATAATCTTTAGATTGGTTTTTGATATTTGGTAATCAACTAAATAAATTATATAAACAGAATGTGCTATAAAATATAATTCTTAGGAGAACTGCTGATGTTCGGTCAGTAGGATATTCAGAGTTATTCAGTTTGTCTCGTGAAGACGTTCTTGCCGCCATGAAAGACTACCCCGAAGCACAAGATATTCTTCAAACCCTCGGCAGAAAGCGTCTAATGGAAGCAAGGAACGCAAATAAGATCGGTAGGTAATATTAATTGGATTTTTTGTTACATGTATGGCATAATAATAAATACTATTTGTAAACAATCAGTTGCAGATCGGATAAAATCTCGGGCTGAAGCTGCAGAAAACTGTAGTGGAATCGTTGAAAAAATTCGATGTGATGTCAAAGGACTTCGAAATGCATTTTCAAAAGGACGCCGAGGCACTAGGTGAGATAAATACCAAACTTAAATACATTATTATTATAAACAATTTTATCACAGTTAAAAAATACTAGTTGGAAACAGTTTTAATTAAAACATTTTTAATATTATAAAGTATGTTAAAACCTATCAAAATTAAAAAGATAATTAAATTATTATTTTTTTATCGTTTATAATTTATGTAAATATATTTTACCTGGAAATATCTAATAGTAATAGTCTAATACGAATATTAAAGTAAATAAAATGTATTTTAAATATTTTAAATAATTTAAAAAACTATTAATATCATATATAATCAGGTAATATCTTCTGTAGTCTGTAATAGACTGAAGCAAACTCGTGAAAAATTACCACAAAAATTAAATCAAATAGATTAAAATCATATTTTATTTAACGTGCTATAATTGATCATAATAATGTTATAGGCAAACCAATATTAAGTTTTTTTTAAATACATAATTATATACATTACATTATATTTAAATTTTACAGAGCTGTAGTTGAAGAGAGCATGGAGTTACAGCCATTAACCAGTAGTGGTCGCAAATCAGAAAACACCAGTAGTAAAAGTATTTTAAGAAGAATGCCCCGGGTATGGAGCGATGAGTTAGCTTCGGGAACTGATCACAGTGATGAAGACCCAAGGCCGATATCGCCGGGTATTCCAATACTAAATAAAGCAAAATCGGATAGAGAACCGCGTGCTAACGAGTCTAAGAAGTGTTTACTATCACCCCCACCTGCTGTGTCAGAAACGGTTCGAAAAGAATCAACGAATCAAGAAGTAATCGGTGCCGGACTTCCGTTATTGCAGAGACTGTTGATTCTCAAACAAAAAAATGAACAAGAAGCGATGACGCAAAGTAAACCGAAGAAGGTCGACCTAGAAGTACCCGAAAGTACACCTAAGGTAAAATCGAACGTGAAATTAAAAACTCCGAAAAAAGAAAACACAAAAAGCATAAGCCTAAAGCAACGGCTGTCGGAGGTACACACCAGGCAGCGAAAACAGACGGCGAATACGAAATTGTGGACGCTTTTGAAAAAAGCGACGGTGCTTACGCCAAAAGCCAAGTTGCAAGACTTAAAAGCCGATAGTGAGGTCCCACGCGACACGTCGTCTATTCAATCAAACTTGAAACCCACAGCCGATGTTTCACATATAAACAGTGGAGGTTGCGAACACAAGTTTATTGTAATGTGCCAAAAATTAGATGATCAATACAAACAGGGCTCATTGATTGCTCAAAACATATCGGCTCACAATAGTTTAACCAATAAATTTACTGAAAATAATATTAATAAGGAAAAATGTGATATTAGAATAGTGCATAGGCCAAAAGTGTTGCATTTAGACGGCAAGAAAAGATGTTACGATTCGATCAACGATCTGTCACCCGAGTATTCCGGTTTGTCGTTCGTCAAGAAATTGAAAATATTGAACGAACGACAAAAGTTGGCAGAACTAGAAGAGAAAGCGTTCTTGAGAAGTTCCAGCCTGGATTCGTCCGGATGCAGGGCTTTGGACGTTTCGTATGGCAGTCAGTTAACACGGAGTCACTCGGAAGCGGTAGCCCTGGAGGTGGTACTGAGAAACCAAAATTCGCGCAAACAAGAACCGTTGGGGTGCAGCACAACACCGGTAGATGAGTGTAACGAAACAGCCGAGCGGATACGGCTTAAGAATATACTTAAAAAGTTGTCATCAAGCTGTTTCGGCAACGACAGAGCGAACCAGTTGATGACTTCGCAGACCATAGAAGGATATGCTGCCAGACACTCCAAATTGACTAGAAATGTTACGTTCAACCAACGCCGCACAATAGAATCTTCGCCAGATTCTTGTAGCTCCTTATTTGAATTTCCCGACAGCATAACCCCTCAGTGTAAAAATCCCGATCTTATACCAATAGATTTGTCTCATAAGACTGACTTGCTAGAGTCTTCCCAAAGAACTTCAAAGCATACAAAACTGTCCAAACGAATGTCCACCAACTCTGCAGTGCAGTACGTGTCGAGTCGGCCGGATATTCGACAAAACTGTTACGACGAAATATTGAATGGTGTAAAAACAATTGTCGAGAAATGTCTAGTAAGTTCAAATTTATTTTATTTGTTTTTATTATTGCAAACCGTTTCAAATCTTTACATCTATTATTCACTTTTTTTACATATTTTTTTGTAAATAAAATTGGGCAAGACTTCTATTTTTTTTTTGGGGGGGGGGGGTCACGTTAATGTCGTTACAATTTATTTATTTACCGTAATTATATTTGTCTATACTAAAATTACTTTATATTATACTAAAATGAATATTAATTTCTATGAATTTCAGACAGATATTGAAGGAAAATATCGAAATAAAATAGATGAACTCGAATCTGAAATAAATAAACGCGATTATACAATAAGCACACTATGTGAACAATTCAATCAGGTAACATTTTATTTTTACAATTCTTGATATCAATATATTATACATATATTATTATTTTTTTATTAGTATTTATTAAATATTAAAATCAATTCATGGTTATATAGAAACTTTGTGATCAACCCGTCGACGAAGGAAAATTAGGATCATTACTTGATAATTATTCAAAAAATATAGAAGAAGACGAAGAAAATCCATTTATAGTGAGTTTTGTTATAATATATATCATAGTATAAACTGTAAAAGATCAGAACTGACTAATAAAATTAACCAACTTTGGATATGTAATAAATAAAGTTCTAATCAATATTTAAAAATAAATTGTTTTGAATTTATAAATATTTTGATTATTATAAAGCCATTAATCTAAACATTCTTTCTTAAATATTGGTTGGTATAAAAGTTATTAAAAAATATAGTCAAATATTTACATATATTATTCTCTGTTACACTCTGTATAACGGTTAATAATGTTTAATTGTGTTTCTTTTATACCTAGGTGTGTAAATTAATTTTGATGTATTTCAGAGAAATGATTCTGTGGATACAGTCATGTGTCCAAAGGTATCTTCGTTCAACAGTTTGTCCCCATTTGGTATGGACGACCCGAGGTGTTACAACCCAAATTCCAGTAGCCCTCCGTTGTTCTCGAGTAAGTCTTGGGAAGACCGGTCGGAAGAAGAGAACCTGGAACTTCGAGATTTGCCCAAGTCGATTATCCCAGAACCGTCGTGGCAACACGACGAGACCAGAATCGACATGAATTGTACGGATGACGAAGAAGAAGAGTTTCCTCCCAGGTGGGAGAACTGGGAAGCGGAAATGTTAGTGGGGCACACTAGCCACAACGATCTCCACGCTGGCCCAGGGCTTTTGAGCCGAAGGTCTTTGGACGAAAATAGTATGATCATACACAGAGGACTTCAGGGACGGAGGAGGTGTTTGTCGATTGACAATGTGCCGTTTTCCAATTCGATACTAAGAAATTTTGGACAATACGTCCGTTTGGGGGGCAGTTCGTCACAAACGCCTTCGCCCGACATACTTCCGACTATATCGAAGAGTTGTTTTTCGTTAGTATCGCAGCCCGAAAATTAAATCAATATAAACCGATTATTATTATTATTATTATGATTAATGATTATGATTATTATTATTATTGTTGTTGTTGTTATTGTTATTCTTTTTGGATAGTACGAAATTTTACCATAACAGGATAGTTGCATGGTTTTATCATGACTATATTATTATAATTGTTTGTACCTTAATATTTTAGTAACACACGAATTTATTTTTTAATTTTCGGAACATGATGTACTATATTACTATAACATAGTACCTACACTATAGTTGCCACTGCAGCATTGTGCTAGGTACCATAAACATTTACCATTAAATATGTTGAAAATAGGGACCAATAAAAATTCAAATTTAAATTTCCATTGTATTCAATGACATAGAAGTGCATATTTGTCTCCTGATACTATGAAGTACTTATGCAGTATTGAATGTTTATTACAATATATATTTTTTTATTAGTATTTATTCAAAATCTGTTGAGACAAATTGCATTGTATGTAAACGTATGAAATATTTGGTTAGTGGCAAAACACTATTTGTTTTTGGAAATGATTTCGGATTCATAGGTAAATAATAAATAGTTAGATTTTTTTTACATTGTTCACAATTTCGGAATAACCTAAAATATTATTTCAACATGAAAAGTAATTCAAACAAATTCTTTTATACTCCATACTTATTTTTTAGTCAGGTTTTAGATGACAGTGAAATACGTATTATGGGTATGAAACGTATATGTAAACATTTAATTTAAAAATAAACTTTGTGTCTTACACACACGTTTCCGTACATTATTAGTCGAGATTCGTAGTAAAAAAATAGTCCCAATTGTTTAAAAAATATCTTCGGTTTATTTAAGATTATTTTTTATCCCGCACAAAACATAAACGTTTTTCAAACAATTTTTTATATTTATTTTGACATTTTATCAAATTTGAGTGATTGTATTCTAAAACACAACCCAAATTTTTTTTTTATTATTTCGCTAAATAATTTGGTATTCATGAACAATTTCGTATGGCAAAAAGTACGATATTACTATGCAACTACTCTAATCCTGTTATAAATTGCATTACGCTTGAGAATTGACCTAATTTTAGTTGTTATTATATATGTTTGAACATTAATGATATCCATAAGCATTGATGATTTTGATCGGAAAAATTTGGTATTAATTTGGTCACAACAACTGAAAAACTAAAAATTGAATATTTATGTATTCATAATACAAAACAATAAAAAGTCATTATGGCGATGGTCAGATCAGAATGCGGGTCGACTGTCGCTGAAACAAACGTCCACACCTCGATAACTCCAATGCGAATTGGTATTTGATATTTTTCCACACCTAACCACATATATTTCCAGAAAGTTTTCTCTCCGGTATTATTCATTATCTTGTTATTGTAATATTAAATGTAATTAGTTTACTTAGGCTAACTTAATTCTGGTCATGTTATTATAGTAAAATTGTTATTTGTTATAACTGACTTATAAGTATAAAAAACAAAACGTTAAAAGTGTAAGTAATTTTTATAAAAAAAAAAAAACGTGAGATCTTAAGCAGAACTGTACAACTTAATAACGAAACTGATCAATTTCTGTTCATTATACACCATACAGAGACCAAATTTAAAAGGAAATACTATTATAATACAATAATATTGTAAGTATATCTATAGGGACCAGTGTAAAAATCCAAATTTAATTAACGGTTAAAACGTACATTATTTATTACTAAGTTTATTCATAAATAATATTTCTGCTCAAAATCAGAAATAATTAAATATTTTTATACTGTTCAGTCACTGAGTCGACCATAATTGTTTCTTTTGAATATCTGCTTAAAATTCGTTTCATATTTCTTAAATATTATTGTAAATTAATAACTATTAATAACTATTCTATTATTTTTAAAATTATTTTTTTATTTTAATTTTACATAGGTAGGTATTGTTCAGATGAACAACTTGTGATTATAAAATTGTAATATTGTTATGCTATTTCTAATCGGAGAGAAAATATTTCGAGTTAAATTTACTACATAAATAATAATGTGTCATGTATATAATTATTACAAGTAAGTTAAAAGTAATGTATTTGTATATTATAAATAGTTTAATAGATTTTTTTGTACAGAATTGTAATTTTTTTCATTTATAATTTATTCAACGTTAATTATACATATAAATGTCATTGTTATACATTTTGTTCGATCTTTACTTAAATAAAGCTTCCGGCTTTGAAAAATAGGTGTTTAGGCATTTGGCCAGGCAAAATCACATGTCTCAGAGTATTGTTATATCGATTTATATTTTAATAAACATAATATTATGAACATTAGACAGTACTATTAGTTTGCAATAGTTTACAAGTGGAGGTGCAGTACAGAAAACGTTTTGCTCCAGATTACGCCGTTGTTGTACTGCGGTTTTTGTACTGGTGGTTGTACAAACGACGAAATGTATTACGACTCGCGAAACGAGAACGATTTTAAAACACTGTCGGCGAAATTAATACCGACCCTGCTGAAATAACAAAACAAAAAAATAAAACACCGAAACAATTTTCATCACGTTTTCAATTAATATTATTTTACTCTGCGCATATAATAATAATAATATGAAGATCGCTGTTGCTTCCGTGATAATGTACTATAATATTATGTACACTATTCATATTATTATATAGAAATCGTCAATTGACACCTTCAAAGCAAGTAACAGAATAACAGTATAATAATATATTAATATTATGTAATGTCATTAGCTTTGATGGATATTGTACGTGCGCAGTATACGCATACACGTGTACATACGTATATGTTTAAGTATATAACTGAGGTAACTCGTTACTGAAACAGATTTTTTTTTATAATTTTATGTGTATAGGTAAAGTAATAAAGCATTTTTGTTTCTACAAATATTATAATTGCTTTTTGAAACCAAGCCGTCAATGTAATATAGTCGATAATTATAATGCGTTATTGATAGGTCCCTGCAGATGCGCTGAAGCCCTAAAAACCCTATAAAAATGACCTTATAAATATTCATTTATGACTTGAAATCAAAAATTATCTTGAGAAGAAATTAATTATAATGATCAAAAACTTTCCTTTAAAATTATTGTTGACTTAGGTATCATTTTAAAATGTATTTTGTTACTAAAGAGTAGAATATTACAGATTACAAACAAGCATAATTACATTTACAAATAAAAAACATAATACCTTTAATTCCACGAGGTATAATATTTATATACATCATTTTACAAACGTTGAGTTAAATTTTATAAACTCCTTGGTTTATGGAAAATAGTTAACATTTTAAAATAATAAAAAACTAGAAAGACCAATAAAAGCAAATTATAAATTACTTATTTAGTTCCACGTGCTATTGAAAGACGTTTTTAGCCAGGAAAGCATTGTCTCAAGACGTTCCAAAAAAAAAAAAAAAAACATTAAAAAGTCATCAACATCTGAGCCCTACCTTAAAAATAACATAAAACCGGAAATAAAATACGATCGAAAGATACGCGTCTAATCTCTGTGATCGTGATGTACAAACTAAAACAACATTGCCGTCCGTCATGTCAATAACGGATAACACCATTCATCACAGTTTCTACGTATTTTATTCGACTACGAATACGAGTTTAAGACCATCGCCCAGTGGTACGAAGCTCTTCGAGATATATCGTACAGCCTTAAATTTTCCATTAGTGATGAATTCGTAGATTCAAGTGTCTTTTAGATCTTAAACCGTCGCATAGAGCGAGGCAGTGCATTTTCACAATCGCGGATGGAGAAGAAAAATCAAACTTTTAGAGAAACAGTTAAGATTTAAATACGTGTTATATTTAACATTGAAACAAATAAAATAAACTTAATATTATCATAATCAAAGTATACAACATCGGTTAGGGGTTGTAATTTGTATACAACTAAATGAAAAATGATATCCATAGAAAATGTATTTCATTGATTAAATCAAACTACTTGATGACATTAAAACAAACCGTATAGTCACAAAACAAAACATATTTTATTTATTACAAGCATAAATATAGGTAGGTTAATGTTAATATAACAATTTTAAACTATCCAATATAGATTACTCTTGATATAGGTACTATTCTAGAATAAAATAATTATTTTATTTAGTAAACTGTGATATATTAAAACTCTAAACATTACAATATCATTTTTTCTTATAAACTAACTAAAAAAAGTTAGGTAAACTAAATAAATGCTTTCAATACTTTTGATATTTATTTAGCTCGTTGTAGTCAACTATTGATACAATTTAAAATTTAAATAAACAACTATGGACACTCATTTCTAATATTATTTCTGCGAGTATAATAGTTCTATATCAGATCATCAGGTATAATCGTGAATAATTACATGTATTTTCCATAATATCATGTATTACTCTTTGAAATAAACTCAACATTTTCATAAATCAAAGTATTATGGCAAATGTTTAAGTATTTAGTATTTAGAAATTTAGGCTTTTTAATAAAGCTAAATAAAAGAGTTTAGAAACAGAAGGCATAGGGAACTTTAAACCCGTTGTTTCTGTAACTTAAGTGACTTCAATTGTTTACATGTATGATGAGAGGTATTGTTGGCGCCGTATAATTGTTGATACAATAGCGGCGAAGATACTCGTCATTGTAATACTTGATGAATTCCTACTTTAAATTTTAATACATTTTATATTTTAATACGTATCATTATTTTAGTGTTTGACGCTTATTAAACACTCTTTATGGAATCGTTTAAAGTGTAATGTTATTAGGGACTAATTAATTTATTGTTGCTCTCGATTGGCCCTTGATTTTACCTAGCCAAACATTAAACACAGGGTATTATTTTTTATTAGAGACCTATATTAATTATTGTCAAGTAATATAGTCAAATGGAGTTATATAATATTATTATCAGTGACAAATTGTTAAAATTTCAAAAGTTACTCGCCTTTTTCAAGTACATGGCAAAAGTAAAAACATCATATTTATGAAAAAAATATTTTTTCTCTCTTCAGCCAAAATCGCTTATTTTCACTGAGCCCTCATTATGCAAGTTAATTACAAGTAGTTTGTTATTGAATTATCTGATACCAAAAAATGTTCACAAATTATTTTTTAGAGTATACTAAGCATAACATACTCATATCTACCCACACACACCCACCCACACAAAACACACAAGCACATACACATGGAAAATATTATTATTACATATTACGCGTCTTGTAATGATAATAATACGTACAAATTCCTAGAATAATACCAATTGAAAATATTTAAGCATAAAATATCGGTAATTGTTGTTGGTGTGTGGTCTTAAGTTATCAAAATAATTGTTTGACAATCACTTGCTATACCTAACCTGAGATTGAAAAACTTCAAATAATTATAATAAAATATTTTGTTTTCGTCACCGAAAATCATAATCGTCAACTCGGCTGTGCCGTCGTAAATTTAGTAAGTACACGCTAAAAAATACGTCAGTTTGATAGTACCGAGAGAGCTCGGTAGGTAGCGACACCATTCGCTCGGGACACTGTTTTTACTTTTTTGAATGTAAAACACGAAAACACGAAGAAGAGAAAATTTACTTTGTAAAATAATATAAACTTGTGGAATTAGTATCCTTCCCCCCCCCTCAAAAAAAAATATTAAGAAATATTGCAGTTACTGCAAATACAAATGTGTATAGCACTATTAATCATTAGTCGCACAAGAACCGAAACCTAAAATAAAACCTCGATTTCAGTACGCTAAACTTATGGGAGACCCTAGTCAAACCAACTCTTTGTGAGCAAATTATCAGCCCCCCCCCTCCTCCAGAAAAATCTTGGCTACACCCCTGACACAAATTACTTACCCATTGGATTATTGATGTACCCTGCAAGTACATCAGTCGCGGGAAGCCGGCTTTATACGTTAAATGGATCACTCAGTATATTATACATGAATACGTAATCTTATTCAAATATATTCTTATATTCTTATTTTGTATTAACTATTGAGATTTTGTTTGATGGAAAATCATAAAAGTTCTGTAGGAGATTCATAAATTTATGTTCAGTAGAATATGATTTACAACAACCACGAGATGCGGCTACGATTTGAATTAAAATGGATTAGTTATCAAATAATATATGTATTTGATTTCATCCCGTATGATTGCAAAGCGCATGATATTGTTCAAAACACGCAATTGAATCGTATTTATGTTGCTTTTGTTATACCGATTTGAATTAAACTGCTTTCGTTCCGAAAAAATCAAATATGTAACTAATTTTATCGAAAAATAATGTAGGTACCATTTGAATGGGTAGCTAAAACCGATAAAACCGTATGCGTTATCTTCGTTTTTACACAAATCTTTGACTATAGAATATTAGAATCTATGGATAATATTGTTACTTTTTTTCATTATTGTTACGAAAGAACGTTGATTTACAATATTACAATCTGTATTTATAGCAATGCAATAAGCAAATGAGATAAAATGAAAATAAAAATAAGTAAACGGACAGGAGAGGGGAAGGCGACCATTAGCGGCACCCCAGAATATTGTAAT